GAGAGAGAGAGAGAGAGAGAGAGAGAGAGAGAGAGAGAGAGAGAGAGCGAGAGAGCAAGACCCACAGTGTTTTAACTAAGTCTGAAAAATAAAACTTCTAAAACTTTTCACGAAATGTCTTTTTGAGTTCAGGAAGATTTTAGAGGAAGATCTTAAGTATCAAACACAACCTTTCATTGTTAAAGACTACTATTGACTCTGTCGTATTGTTTTTAACTAAGCAGCCAATCTACTTCCTGTTTACACCGGCACCCGCATGCCCAGTGTACGTGAATAGTCATGTGAAACTTGTTTTCAGGTCATTATGAAAATGGCAATGAAACGCTGTGTGGACGGATATCGTTTTTGTTTTAAAACTTAAAACGTAGTAGTGTGGATGTAGTCTGAGTACATCGCTGCAACGCAGCCGCTGCTCAGTGAGCAGACAGCTTGGTCAGTTTAATTTTGTTTTTGGCAAGATAGTTTGACATGTCTTATAGAACGACTAAGTGCCAATTGTCTGCATAGACTAATTGTCTGTCTGTGTATGTGTATATGTGTGTGTTGGCGTGGGCGTGTCTCACCTCCTGCCAGTCTCCCGGCTCCCTCCTTATTACGACTCACTCACCTCACCAGTCCAGTCTGCACAGCTGCCTCCCATCAACTCCACAGTGCATCTACTCCAGTTCTCCATACTCTCACTGCCAGTCCCAGCTAGTGTGACAGTTTATGTTTCAGGCCTCAGCAGTTGTCTGTGTTTTCCTTGTGTTGCTTCAGAGCCTGACATTAACTGTTATTTTAACACTCAAGTAAACTCAAGGAAACACTCAAGTTAAGTAAAATGCCCTCACAATTGAACTTCCTGGGGAGGACATTAACGAGCAGAGGGACTTTGGATAAGTAAAAGAGGATATTTTTAAAAAAGAGATTCCAAAGCACTTTGGCCTCTGCTCTCTGACAGCCTTTTATCCTCCTTCAGAGCACTGAGAAAGATCTCCCAGTGGAACCTCAGCCCCCAGTCATACGTTTAGCTTTACTGACCTCTGACCTCTGTGTGACCATTTCAGTGTGATTCTTCTCTTTCATTTATCTCTTTGCATGTACGGTATGCTTCTTTCAGTGGCTGTCTATGTGATCTTAAATTGCTGTTTTTTTGTTTCCTCTTTGCAGCTTGCGGCAGTGGTATAACGTGCACCTTATGTGATCTCCAGCAACTACACATCATCTTACTGCGACAGCGACATCATCATCATCATACGTCTTTGGATCTCGCTCATATTAGAGTTAAGTTTTGAAAAAAAGCTACACCCCCTTCCTTTAGCAGGGGGTGTAGATCTTGCCAATGGAAATATATTATTTCATGCGCTGATTCATCCCTCTGTGGGATGTTGGCGCCCTATCGCTTTTTCCACTCAGACACGATATCTCACCTCGTGCACCAGCACCCGGGTCCCTCCACGTGTGCCGTGCCAACACACAAAACAAGTCATGGTCTCCATCCCACATACAGATAGAGGAACACCAGGACGCCGGCCTACAGACACACACTCCCACCCTCGACATAACAGACATTCCTCATGTTGGAGAAACATGCGAGATCCCCCATGAGGCATGACTCCACTCTGAAGGCATCCAGCTGTTACAGGCTCTCACACAAAGGCTCAAACTCAAGTATTTTTTTGAAAGGAATTGACAATAAACATCTCACCTCTGTCTCCACGCTTGAGGCCGTGTCACATCAGAAAGCAGGAAGGTGAAGCATCAGCCGACAACCCATGCCACCCCACCCTCCCTCCTTCTCCCTCTGTAACACTCTTCACTCTTCACCCCGTCCCGCCCTCTCTCTTTTCTCGCTTCGGTATCCAGTTTCTAATGTCTTTTTCTTATCAGAAGTAATTTCCTGTGTTGATTTCTCACCGCGTTCTCTCTGTGTTTCTTCCTCTCTCTGTCTCTTGCTATACTGAGGGTTTCAGTAGACACAGGGCTTCCTGTGAGTGTGTTGGGGGGGGTGTGGTTTACAAGAATTTTTGACACCATGACTTCTGCTATAATGGCTACTTCCACCTCCCCCTGTGCGCTGCTATGATGGTCCACGTGTGTCCTTTTGGATGACAGATGAAAATATTGTAATACATTCAGTCAATACTGAAAGTAGGAACAGGAATGTTTATTTTTTTTTTTGGGGGGGGGGGCTTTTTAAGCTGCTGTTGGTTCCTTTCCCACACTTATTTCTCAACGCAGGACTTTCAGTATCTAAATAGAGGACATTGCTAGATAAATGGCAGCCAAGGGATCAGAAGTGGGTGGGTGAATCAGACAACTGGCTGTTCTTCCTAAGGTGGGCTGCATACATCTGCCTGAGGGTGGGGGTGGAGGGGGATTTGGCTCAGACTTGGGCTTAGCAGATGTAAGAGAGGGGAGGAAGGCTGACTTTTCAGTTAAAAAGCCGACCTCAGTGTCTGGCGGTTACTGGTTTGTCGAAGCTGCCGCAACTGCTTCCAACTGCCTCCAGCGCTCTTCG